TGTCCATCTTCCTTGTGTGACATAATTTGGAAGTAAAACTCGTGTCATGAGCTAGTTTATAGAAAGAGCCTTCCACGTACACTTAGATTACCTCATTCAAACATCGAATGGAGAAATTGGGCATGTCAAAAATTATGAATGGAGAAATTGGGCATGGCAAAAATTACCCTAAGTTATTGTCAAATGATAGCAAAATTGCTGTTTGATATATGCAACACACTATAGCGTGTAGCATAATGAGGGACAAACATTGCAGATGTGCACATACCATAGCGCATCTCCCAATTTTTCATGACTTAATATTTTTTAACTAATTTTAAGCCTTTTTCACTCCCATGAGGTATCCTATGATTTTGGAACATCATTTTACACTGATTAGAGGTATGCTAAGTGATTGTTGAATAATTTTAAACTATAAAAAATTGGGATTTCATTTCTACAAATTACAAACTTAGTAGTTTGTTTAGGTTAATCTCTTGGTTACTTCATTTTTTTAATTAATTGGATATTGGTAAGTGAGATTTTACATTACCTACTTAAGTAAAATCTCATCTATCTATGATCATGCAATATAGGTATGATATTCAATGATATGTCATAATGCAAATTTGATTAATTTATCTCATAATCAAGAACATGCCATCAAGTCAAGAATATGAAAACTAATATTTAATCTCATGCCAAAACTTTATGCTCACACTTATCATAGCACCAAGTATCTATTTAAGCACATAATACAATTCAATCACATGCATATTTATTCACATAATCATAGTCATGCTCATTAAAATTATAAGGGTCACATTTCCATCATCACACTTAATAATTATATTCAAATTTACTAAAATATGCCATCCAATTCATGTCCTCATCAAATTTTAACATGGTACAATTACACAACCCAAATCAAGTCAAACATTTTATTTCATCATCAAACAAGCTTATGACTTAGCATTCGATACTCGCATGCTTGCACATTCATATGACAATTTCATCACAGTCAATAACATACAACTCATAATTATAAAGAATGATTATTTATAGGAATTTAACTCCTGGTTACCTTCACTCTTGAATTATTATCCTAAAAGTACACTTTGGATTCTAAGGGAGGTCTCAAGCAACCAACAAGCTTTAAGAGCAGTTAAATCTACAATTAGAATCATTAAATATCATTAATGACTAATCATCTTTAATTAGCTTTTAATCACGATTAAGGCCTAATACCCTTATTAAATGTAAGCAAAACTCACCCTCAATCATCATTAAACTTAATAAACACTACTAACTCTTTCCATTTGCTTAATCCAGGTCAATTAATATTAGGCTTAACCCTAAATCCATTATTAAGAACTTTAATCACTACTATAAGCAAAACCTAATTTCTAAAAGCAAAAAACAACACCCTTAGACTTCATTGAAGTCATTAGGATGAAACATGGCTGCTATAATTGAACAACAACACTATACCCGAAGAACTCATTTCCTTTGGTTATGTTTCTAATCACATAACTTGGATTTAAAAATCCATCCCGTCTACTGTAGTTAGTAGCATTATCCACCATAGTGGATGATGCAGTTCAGGAGGCCAAATTTAAGCCCATTAAATTGGGCCTAAAGTGGCCTAATTACATTTACAAATCCAGAATTGACTCCTATATAAGGTCCAATAGACCAAATAATCAACCAAACTCCCTTTAATTAGATAACCTCCCAATTAATTAATTAACATTTAGATTAAAATTATAGGATGTTACTACACTTGCTATGCCTTATAAATTACAGCACACCTATATAAATTAAGCATCAAATTGATTTTAAGGCTAATGATGAATGACAAGACTTTCTCAGAATGCAAGGCTACTTTAAAAAGTATAAAGAAGAGGTGAGATAAAAAATTATTGATAGTAATTACAAAAATATAGCCACCATTAAATGAATAGGGCAAAGAGAATTTCCCTCTTGTCAGTACATTTAACAACTTAAAAATTTAGACATCAAATTGAGTTTTAAGCCATATATAACTTAAAAATTTTAGACATCAAATTGAGTTTTAAGCCATATATATATATATATAAACTTACAAAAACTTATACACACATACACAAAAACTTACAACCTCATTGTATATAGTGGCTTTTAGTCTCAAACTCTATGGAATGCTCAGGGCCTAAGATCTAGCTAGAAAATAAAAGCTAATAGTTGAAGCTTGAAAGAAATAAGCTTGATGTGCCTATTTAGACGTGAAACATAAATTACTTACTTGTAGACTTGCTACTCATTAGGAGGCCTATCATTGCAACCTTCACTATTTCTGTGCTCAATCTTTAGTGTGCAAACATAATTGAGGACAAGAATGGGCTTGGCCATATGAAATATATGTTGTTGGCTACTATCTTGTGGGCTAATTGAAACTTGTCCTGCTTATTGTTTACATTTAGTAATTACAAAGCAATCTTCACACAGTTCATAAACCATCCTAACTATATGAAGAGAGAGGTTCAATGGGGTAATGGTTTATAAATTACAAAACTGAGACAGAATGAAAACATTTAGACTTAAAGTATTTTAACAATATTAGCAAATGGTGTGCAGATGCAATGATTGGAGTCAATCCATAAACATTGTGCTTCCACAAGTTTTTCTTTCTTGCATAAACATTTAAGAAAATTGATTTAAAATTTCAATATGCTTGCTAAAGTCAAGAGCTCCTATTATAGTCAAAATCACTTGCAACCAAGGGTAACAAATAATAGATACTTTTAACTTCTCAAATGACTCAAATAGATGAGGTAAGTGGGTGGATGAGACCTATGCTATGATTTATGTACCCAAAGCATGGAAGGCAATAATACTTGGCAGGATTTGAAGAAATATATTTCCCTTAAGCACCTTTGCAAAACCAAAAGGTAATGATACAACTTCTAAATGCATATAGTCAAAAATTTAAGCATTAAGCAAGGTCTATTTACAGCGTGCACACTCACACTCACACTAATATTTAGAGAGCTAAAGAATTATTAGTTAAAGAAAAGAAGGGAAAAGGAATATCAACTTAAGCAATGACCAAAATTATATGCTCTGATTAAGTCATAACAGCAACACAAATTAAGCAATGACCAAAATAAAGTATTCAAAATTGAACTCAACATCACCTTTTGAATTTTCTCATTCTTAGCTATATTTAAGTTCTATTGCCTCTCATAGTTACATTCTCAAAGAAAGAGTAGCCACTGAACTTTTGCAATCTTCTCTAAATGTTGCTCTAGGGAATAGTCAATATGAGTTCCACCACCAATTCTTATAACTTGATTACCATCACCACTGTTCGAATTAACACAAAGCAAACTATCAAATTAAAAAAATGAAATAAGAATGAGATAAAGGAAGTAGTAAAGTAATACCTGAACCCAAGAGGTAGAGATCAGTCTTATCGAAACTAGAGATGACCTTAGCAATGCAGTAGATATACATGTATTGGGAACAAAAACTTCCTCTCTATTTATGTATTGGAAATGCAGATATTATTGCTCTCATGCTGTAATTTAATACTCTCATTGAAAAAAGAAAGTAGACTAAAATAAATCTAAAATGGAAAAATAGACTAAATCCCAGTAACCATCCTAAAACAATTGACATACGACGAAGAACAAGCATAACAAAGACCTCATTTTTGGATGAAGTTAATTATTTTTTACAAGGAAGGTTTTATGTTGATTTATATCACCAAACGCCCTAATAAGAGAGTTTTCTATGCTGATGGAGGAAATGAAGGGAATAGAAAGAGACCATCATGCTTTCACCATTAGATAGAGTGGCTTTACCTCAAGGAAGAAGGCTTGTCTTCCCCACCTGTCAACAGCACAAATGTAGACAATGTTGGTAAGCATATTGACTAAGCTAGTGATGATAGTAGACAAGAGAGAAAAGTTGCTATTGAATCTGAGGGAGTTGAAGAGAATCATCGCATAAAAACTTGATGAGTTGATGCATGTGAGCTATTGGAATAAAGAAGGGGATCATGATGGACATGGCAAGCTGAGATCTGCACTTTCTTTACACTTGATTATTCTATGGGATGGAGAATGCGAAAAACTAATCACAATGCCATCTTTTATGCTTATTTAAAGAGGATTAATTTAAAATTTGAATTTTGTGAAGAAAGAGAGTTTTGAGAAAAGCTTGTATGTAATGGAAATAGAGACATTCTTTCATCATTAGTATTACGACACTCGATAATATATGCATTGAAAAAATGTCCAAGTAAGGAAAAATGAAAATACGGGAAAAAGAAGAGATAACTAGAAAAAAATAAATGGAAATTTAAAAAAAAATCTAACCAATTGGAACACTTATACAAGAATTAAGGAGAGAGAGTGGAATACATTTCACGCAATAAAGACCTTTAGTGTTATGTACTACATTGGAAGGACTTTGAGAGGGTCTTGGCTACATAAATAGGTGTGCTGCATACTTAACTGAGTTAGCTTTTTAGGAAAAGAATAATAGCTGTACGACAAAGTGACATCAAAGCCAAATTAGGGTTTGCTTAGTCGATGGGCCACCTATAATGAGAGCATCACTAATTAGGCTAGGAAGTTATTACGCCCCACATTAGAAGGGTTGTAACTATATAAATGGATGTGCTGCATACCTCACTAAGCTAACTTTTTCAAGAAAGAGTAATGACCTTATGACATTAGGCTAAAAATAATTGACCAATGAGAAGGCACAATAAATATTATAATAAAGTTGAACAAACCAATGAGAACCCACCATTTTTTGCCTAGTCAAGAGAGCTCTATGAGTTTGGTAGATAAAAGTTGATTAATTACATATAAATTTTTAGGGACATGTATTGTGCACTTTGTGAGACTTCAGGGTAATTATAATTGTTGTGGGGCATTTTGGAGAGATTTTCCCTAAAGTAAAAGCAACGGCCCAACAAGACAGTATAGAGAAGACCGACGTAAATATGTTATGTTCTCCGTATAAATTTCCTGTGAAGAGAAGTTTCCACTACTCCCTCTCAAAGGGGGAAAAAATCTACAAATTTGAATCTCCGGATTCCTGTAAAGATCCCTGACTCTATTCTAGGAAACCTTCATTTCATCGACACAGGCGGGAACTGAATCAAGTTAATGGAGACCGTAGCTGAAGAAAAGACAGCGAAGAAGGAGGAGGAATTTGTGGTTATGGTGAATCAAGATGAGGATGAGCATGATTCCAAGGAGAGGGTGCTTCAGAAGTACTTCCTTCAAGAATGGAACCTAGTCAAGTCCCTTCTTGACGACATTGTTTCAAATCGCCATGTCTCCGATCCTTTTTCAGTTCACAAAATCCGATCCATTGTACTCCTAGTGCCTTTCTTTCTTTGTGCTCTTTGTTGTATTTTGATTGATTTTCTTTCGTGGTTTTTTTGTTTATAATTAACCTACGAAATGTGTAGTGGGAACCTTAAACATGTTTGTGATGACCATGAGCTTTTGGGTCTGGGATTTGTGGCCTATGCACTATTTTGTTTGTGAAGTTCATGCTTCATAATTTAAGAAAGTCTTTCTTTCTATATGCAGTTGGATAAGTATCAGGAGCAGGGTCAGCTTCTTGAACCTTACCTGGAAAGCATAGTTTCCCCACTGATGTACATTGTTCGTTCAAGAACAATTGAACTTGGTGTAGATTCAGTTGAAATTCTTGAAATAATCAAGCCAATATGCATCATTATCTATTCATTAGTCTCAGTTTGTGGATATAAGACCGTAATCAAGTTCTTCCCACATCAAGTTTCTGATCTAGAACTTGCTGTATCTCTCTTGGAGAAGTGTCATTACATGAGTTCAGCAACATCGTTGAGGCAAGAAAGCACAGGAGAGATGGAAGCTAAATGTGTGATGCTATTGTGGCTTTATATACTTGTATTAGTTCCTTTTGACATCTCCACTGTGGACACCAGTATTGCCAACAATACCAATCTCAATGATCTCGAGCTTGCCCCTCTCGTGTTGAGAATTTTAGGGTTTTGTAAGGATTACCTCTCAACTGCAGGGCCTATGCGCACAATGGCTGGACTAGTGCTCTCTAGGCTTCTAACACGTCCAGACATGACCAAGGCTTTTGTGAGGTATATATAACTTTTTCTTTACTGATAACGATATAAAGTGTCTTTCATATGTAATAGCCTAAGATTCAACGCACTTGCCATCTTGGCAAGTTCCTTGGTGTTCCACTGCTTCACAACAGAGTTACCAAGGATATTTTTATACACAGGGGAAAAGAAAAAGAACAAACTCCTGGGTTGGAAAGCAAAGACCCTTTCCCTTGCTGGTTGAATGATGATACAGAGTGAAGTATCATTTCAGTTCTGCATGAACTAATTTTTCTGATGTCTTCAGGTTCGTTGATTGGACACATGAAGTCTTGTCTTCTATAACAGAGGACCTCCTGCACCATTTCCAATTACTTGGCGCTGCTGAATCATTGGCTGCCATTTTTAAGGTTCGATTTTTATTATTTTCATTTTCAGTCTCAGATGCAAATCTGTTCTTTGTTTTCACAATAATTTTCATACAAATAGATTCTCTTTCTTTTAGGTAAGGATGTGGAAATAAGTGTCATTATATGCATCTAATCAGTAGAAAAATTGGATTCTATCTAGGATATTTAGTTTGGCTTCTATGAAAGCAGTCATTTGGAAAATTGCTCTGTTATCTTCGATTCTTCTACTTCTTATAGCATGTTTCTGTATGTATGCAGGCTGGTAGTCATAAACTCTTGCTTGATGTAATTCCTGTTGTTTGGAATGACACTTTGACACTATACAAGTCCTCAACTGCAGCACGAAGTCCTTTGCTTCGCAAGTATCTGATGAAGCTAACTCAGCGAATTGGGCTTACTGCCCTTCCTCATCGTTCGCCTTCATGGCGTTATGTGGTCAGTTCTTTTTGTTTGCAATCTTTGATGTATTCTCATATCTTATAAGCTATTTAGAATGTCAAAATTCTCTCATGCAGTTCAGAACTATATGAAGTTCTGTAACTGGAAGAAACTGGTGTTTAAAATAGGGATTATGATAGGAAACATTGGGAGAGCTTGCCCCAAAAGATAGCTCATGATGTAGGAGAGCACAAAGTCTCTAACCCCACATCAAATTGCCAATACTCCCAATGTAGAACTTAAATTTCTCACCTTGCCATGGACTCAAACAAATTCATTATTTGGAACAGGACTTTAAGAGGTTGATACTTAGATCTTAGGCTTGTCCCATGAAAAAATGAAGCTACCACAAATGAATTACCTTTCTGTCATGTTAAAAATAGTAAAACACACAAACAGACCCATTTAGCTGTTGTTTAATATTTTAATTATTAGAACGAAGTTGTATGCACTCCAGCATTTACTATTATTATACCTGTTTCAATGGTTTCAATTCCTCTGATAATTTATTTTCTCTCTCTTCCAAATTTAATTTTTGGCATTTTAAGGTAATTTATTCTTTAAGTTTGACATTCTAGTCCATTTCATACTTTTATTAGCAACTTTTTTAGAAGCTACATGTCTGGCACCATTTTTTAGTCTTGACTGTATGCCTATGATGCAGGGAAGAAGCACCTATCTAAATGTTACTTTGAATGAAACTGGTCAAATTGAACAGTACAATCATGTTGTGAATGATGACCCCTCTAACTTAACCAAAGTTATTGATGTGGCACAAGATGAAGAAGATATGGATGTTCCAGAAATTGTTGAGGAGATCATTGAGATGTTGCTGTCTGGTTTGAGGGACATGGTATGTCCAAAGGGTGAGATTCTTATTGGGAATTTTTTTTTTCCTCTTTCATACTAAAAATTTCTAAGATGGTGAAAAAGTCTGGTGATGTCTAGAATTAAGTCAGTGGTGATTTCTTTGAAAGTAAGACTCTTAGAAAATAGTTTGTATAAACCATGTAAGTCATTGGAAGTAGGATTAACTATATTAATGTTATTCTTTTATACATCATGGTTGTAAAACTTTTCAGTTGCATGTATAAATATCAATATATGAACTAGTGCCATCCATGAACATGGTTGACGTATGAAACAACTGAAAATGCATGCATCTTTGCAAATTATGTGCCGTTGATCTGCAAACAGTATGGTCCTTTGAGCTTGATGCAGATAAGGCACAAGCCCATCATAGCTTTTGCTAAAATTTCATCTATTAAAAAGAATGAGGGTTGCAAGTTCTGATATCACGTTAACAAATCAACAATGTTGAAAGGATTAAGATGCTAGAGGAATGATAGGGAGTGCTTTAGTTGCTTTCTCCAAGAGTTGCTTATTGAAGCTTGTGCTCAAGTTATCAAAATAATTCTTCATCCCTTTTTTAGCACCCTAATCTCTTAGGTTTAGCACTATGAATCATACTAGAATTCAACTGACATCTTCTTGTAGTTTGATCCTTATTTCTTGTCTTATAATTATTATGTTTTAGTTCAAGGAAATTGTTTGTTTTTAGTCGTAGATAATGTATATAATGCACTTTCTCAATTTCACAAGCCTAGTAAGCTTACTCACGAGGTTGTGTGATGGACACCCAAGTGAGGTAGGGAACCTTGTCCCATAAGTTATTGATATGAAAGCACTAATTCATTTAAGCACCCCATCTAGCATTCCATACTAGCCAATATGGGACTTAGGCATCTTAGATCTTCATCAATTGGCCCACCTTAGGAGAGCTGAGATCCCTATGGCTGTGCTTTGTGACGCTTTACTTGGTGACACTTGCTTGACTTTATCACTAGTTAGAACCCTCCAAAGGTGGCCCCTTCTAGAGTTGTTGGCCACTAGCTTTGGTTATGGTTGATGGGGATCCAAGTGAGGTGAGGAATTCTCTTTCAAAAGCTAGCTATTGTAGCAGGAGATCCACCCTACTTAATTATCTGTTAGTATTTTATACTCTGAAACTGACATCCTATACTTAGTCCCCATGTGAGCGCTTTAGTTATAGAAATAAATAGAGATCTCTTGCTTCACAGCTTCTGCATGTTGGTCGGTGGATTTAGTTTTTTAAATATTTCTGTTGGACAAGAGCAGAGAATATCCTGAATGATGAAGTTGGAGTAGTAACAAGTAATCATTTTACTTCATTGTATCTATTATTACTTCTTTTCCTCCCTTGTTGCTTGTTTATGGGAAGTTGGTAATATGAATTGTATGCAGATCTGAGCACAAAAACATTGCTGGTGGCATACTGCTGTTTACAAATAACTTCTCTTTATGTCGTATCTTTTGATGACTTTTGAAAGACAACCATAAGCTTTAATGGATTAATGGATTTGCAACTTAAGCTTTTTATACTTTCAGTGTTTTAGTGTCTAATTTTTTTTATTTTTTATCACTCGTTGCTGTTGGATTTCAGGATACTGTTGTCCGTTGGTCTGCAGCTAAAGGTATAGGCCGCATAACTTCACGTTTGACATCTTCCCTTGCTGAGGAGGTTTTATCATCTGTTTCTGAGCTGTTTTCACCTGGTGAGGTATGCATTGACAGTTAACTTTCCTTTGTATACTGTTCCTATGCTAGTTGTGGTAGTTAGATGGTTCCCATTTACTTTTAGCCCTGCATGTACTTTATATATATAGTGCTGCTGCTGCTGCTCACAAGCAATTTTTTTTGTCCAAGGGTGATGGTTCATGGCATGGAGGTTGTCTAGCTTTGGCTGAACTTGCTCGTAGAGGCCTGCTCTTGCCTGCTTGCCTTTCCAAAGTTGTTCCTTTTGTTGTGAAGGTGGTGTTTAAATTTGATATACGTATATGCTTATAATTTTATTATTTGTCAAAATATATGATCATGTTTTACATACAGGTGCAAGATTTAAAAGCTTGAATAGATAAAAAGTAAATAGCCGGTGCATATGTTACCCGAAAAAACATAACTGGTGCATTTTATTATGGGACAGGAAGAGAGGGTGAAGGTGAAAAATGGATTGAACATAGTCTCATATTCTTGATATCTTTGCCAGTATTACTATTTATATTCATACAAAACCTGATCTTGAAGATTTTTGCTCATAACTTGAGTAATCTGATTGAACATAGTCTCATATTCTTGATATCTTTGTTGGAACTAGTGGTTTTATCATTAACTAAATGGGATCTTATTAAATGGGATCTTTAAGTGAATAACTTATTTAATGAGTTGGTTGTTGATAGAGATCAATAGCGTCATGTGAGCCGTACAGCTGACTCTGCTTAATGAAATAAGGCTTCTTCTTGTTTTTGTTGTATCATTAACTAAAAAGAATCTCTAATACCTTGTTGAGAGAGGACATTGACTTTTACTAATATTATTAACATCACTAAATGCAATCTGAAGTTGAGCCCTTGGTTCAGATACCTGTGCTATTGAATGGTGGAATTAATGCACAAAGTTATTGTACAGGCCCTACATTATGATGTTCGGAGAGGTCCGCATAGTGTTGGATCTCATGTACGTGATGCTGCTGCATATGTGTGTTGGGCATTTGGACGTGCATATTATCATGAAGAAATGAGAAACATTTTAGAACATCTTGCTCCACACCTCCTAACAGTGGCATGCTATGACCGTGAGGTGCCCTTTCCATCAAATGAGTTATTTATAAATGCTAATGCATGAATTGTGGTCTAAATAGATTTGCTAATGATGCTTAGGTTAACTGCAGAAGAGCAGCAGCTGCTGCTTTTCAGGAGAATGTTGGAAGACAAGGGAATTATCCACATGGCATTGACATAGTTAATGCTGCAGATTATTTTTCACTTGCTTCGCGAGTAAACTCTTATCTTGATGTTGCTGTCTTCATTGCCAAATATGAAGGATATCTTTTCCCATTTGTGGGTGACCTACTTGATAGAAAAATCTGTCACTGGGTATGCTCAAATTTAATCTCTCCTTCTGTCCCTCTCTTTCTCTCTAGTTTTTCCGTAGCTATATCCTTTTTAAATGCTGATGGAGTATTTAATTTCACTTTCTACAAAATGAAAGTTCATCTGCTAAACATTGTGCTTACATTTTAAAATAGCCTCTACATTATTGTTTGCTTGCTAAGAAAAGCTGTACCTCAATCTAGCTTAATCATTTTGCTAAGCTGCACTTTGTAGTTGAAAGGAACTAGTGGCGTCTGGAAATTGGGATAGGAGAAACCTAAGAAACCAACCCCGGAAATGATATTCAATAGATGTGTCAGCATTATTCAAGGAATACTTAGGATTCTATATAATTAAGTTTTATCATGATTTTCTGAATAAATGAAATATCCTAATTTCCTTAGTTTTCATTATTTTGTTTCTTCTTTTCCGGAGTATCTGAGCTGGGTTTTTTTTTTTTTTTCCTTCTGTTGGGTGAACCTTCTTTGCTTTGAATATGAAAGTCATTTGTTGTTTGTGCAGGTGATGTTCGAAATTGGTGTTTGTCTAATAATGATATTGCTAATGCTAATATTTATATGCAAGTTTATTGCTAATATGATTTTATGTAGGACTTGAGTCATATGACCAGGAATTATTTCTTCCTTCTCTTACTACTAATTCTGTTTCCCCCCTTAAAGTGATTTCTTTCACTTTTAGTAGCTGAAAATGAATTATATCTTGATCTGCAATTTTTACTAGTTTATTACTTTTTTTTTTTTTTTTTTGCTAGTTTGAATTGAAAGTTGAAACAATATATCCTAAGGACCAAAGTAAGGTTTCTACTTTTTTGTTCGTACTGTTCACACAGAACCAGGAAATTTGTTGTTATTGATGTCTCCCATTGCTCAATTTTCTTGTGTGTTACCTTTTCATAATCCATTTGGAAATTATGCGCACTACTTTTATGATCATACTTTTGGGAATTATTTCTTCAGGATAAAGGATTGCGAGAACTTGCTGCAGTGGCCCTTTCATCTCTTGTGAAATATGATCCTGAGTATTTTGCAAGTGTGGCCATGGAAAAGTTAATTCCTTGCACTCTTTCATCCGATCTATGCATGCGCCATGGTGCAACATTAGCAATTGGTGAACTTGCATTAGCTCTACATAAATGCAATTATGCTCTTTCCTCAGGTCATACATTCTTCTTTAAACTTATGATCAAGATTAGATGCAAATCATATTTCTTTTATTTAAACAAAATCGAGATGGAAGTAAAACAGCCTTATATAGAAAAGTAGGGGAAAAAGTTGGGAGTTGAAGGAGAAAGTGGAGGAAGAGAGGGAGAGACGGATGAAGAAAGAGAAGAGGGATAAAGCAAGAATGAATTCAAAATGTCTGAATGCTTACAACAACTGATAACATAGGGAGACTATAAAAAGAAACTAAAATAAAAAAAAATTGGTAAAACTGATCAAATATTTCTAATTCTGGTATTTATCTTTAATCCCTAAACTACTCATCATTGATAACATATCTCCTGTTCTCTTTCTATTCTCCTTATTTTCTTCAAGTTTCAAAAACTCAATTTCAAGTTTTGAAGTGTGGAAACAGTTGAATAATCCATCTTGGAGCATTAGGTATGGCGACCTAATGGCAATAATGATTGCTCTAAAATGATAGCCAATATAGCTTCGGGCTCTCTAATACATCCAAATGTGGATGGAAATGTGAGTTAGGGATCTGGTATTGCATTTTGCAATGAGATTCCAGTGATAGCAGCATCTCAAGGTACCTAGACTCTGATAACAAAAAGATGCTGAACTGCATAGAAAAAAGTCAGGAGAGCAAGGAGAAAAGAGTGAGGAACACACACGCGCGCGCGCACACAGAGTGATGAAGGAAGAGAGAACAAAAACCGACAGTCAATTCCATAGGTCTGAAAGCTTGCTACTACTGGTAGGGCTGTTAAAAGGAACCCATAATGAGAACCTAGAATAAAGAAAATAAAGAAAATTAAATAAATAATTTAGATTTCTTATGTTGATCTTTAATCCCTAATTTGTATGCAACTGGAAAATTTTGCCTGTGATGCATGAAAATCACTAACATTTGAGATGATGTGTAATCAAACAAGATGGTGAAGTAAAATGTGGGGGGGAGAGCGCAGTGTGATGTCTAAGAGTGAAGAAAAAGAGAAGGAAGGTTTGAAAACACCCCCCTTGGGGAAAGCGTTCAAGAGGCTTGGGCTCTCTCTTCATACAAAACCAAGTACTTTCTCATCCCTCAATGAACCTTCTCTTCCCAATATATATATATATATATATCCAACCATAGCCCTTTTCTCTCTTTAGCATGCGCCTCATGACATCTCAACACATGTAGGTGGTAATTAAAATCCCCCCTTTCTCCCCCTCAGAGACCTCACCAACTATTTTGTGTGTTTTAATGTGAAACCAAACACTACATTTATTTGCCCTAGGTCCATCATTTGTTGAGTACCCAAGTGGGATAGGGATCCTTCCTCAAAAGCTAACTGTGGGGGTGGGAAAACCAGTCTACTTGAATATCCCTTCGAGCATCCCATACTACGTTAGTCTCCATCAAAGATTCCCAAAAAGAGAAATATAAAATGAAAATTAATAATTAATAAAATAAGTAGCAGAAGAATTTGATTGCAGTTTGTTCATTTCAACATTAAATAACAAAAATAGAAGTCTTGGACTAAGTAGATTCTTACACATAAATGTAATTACAAAATGATAATCTATAAATCTCAGTTAATGATGGCTTCCCTAAAGGTGGTCATGGTAAACTCATCCTGGAGTTTCGGTGCATCTGTTATGCTCTCTATTGAGGAATCCTTGTAACGTTCATATATTCACTCCATTTTCATAATTTCCTTATCCGTTATCCTAGAATTTCCATTTTCTGCTCGGTAATTAATTTCAAAACATTTAGGATGTTGGAAGACCTTAATGCTTTAAACTTTTCATGACAGATAAGCAGAAAACCCTTGCTGGTGTAGTTCCATCTATTGAGAAAGCAAGACATTATCGCGGAAAAGGAGGAGAGATAATGCGGGCAGCTGTTTCACGTTTCATCGAATGCATCTCCATATTTAACATAAGATTATCAGAAAAGATAAAAAGAAGCTTGCTTGACACTTTGAATGAGAATTTGAAACATCCTAATTCTCAGATACAGGTTTCACTTTTTTAAAACAAGAATTCTGTATATCCATTAATTTCTTTCTTTATTTCATTGCCATATGGCATTTAACTTGTTTATTATCATTCTGAATCAAAATTGTTTTTTGATGTACAGAATGCTGCTGTTAATGCCCTGAAATACTTTGTCCAAGCATATCTGCTTGATGTGGATGAGAAAGTTATGGGTGATGTTATATCAAAGTACCTCAATATGTTAAATGATCCAAATGTTGCTGCAAGGAGAGGATCCGCACTGGCAATAGGTGTTTTGCCATTCAAATTTTTATCCAGTAGGTGGAGAAATGTGCTTTTGAAACTCTGTGGCTGTTGCACGATTGAGGTGCATTTTTATTGCTACTGTTGTTATATGCTATATTGTTATTTTAGATGACTGTCAACATGGTTTTTTTAATTCAGGAAAAACCTGAAGATAGAGATGCTGAAGCACGTGTAAATGCTGTTAAAGGGCTTGTAGCTGTATGTGAAATATTAATTAATGGAAGAACAGATTCTGTTACCTCTCACATGGAGGAGGACTTCTCCTTGTTTCTTTTGATAAAAAATGAAGTTATGATGGCTTTGTTTAGAGCTCTAGATGACTATTCTGTCGATAACAGAGGTGATGTGGGCTCTTGGGTTCGTGAGGCTGCATTAGATGGACTAGAGAAATGTACATACATGCTCTGTAAGAGAGACTTGGCTTGTTTGAGTGGAAGATCAGAAAATAATTCTACTGGATCTGTAAAGCAGCAGTTTACTAATGACATTGTTAAGGACAATGAAGATTTTCCATTGTTTGATGAAAACCTTGCTACCTGTTTGATTGGAGGAATTGGTAAACAAGCTGTGGAAAAGATGGATAAGCTAAGAGAAGCAGCTGCAAACGTTCTTTACAGAATTTTATACAACCAGTTGGTTTATATTCCTCACATTCCTTTCAGGGATAAGCTTGAAGAAATTGTTCCTAGGGAAGCAGATGCAAAATGGACGGTTAGTGTGGTGAGATTGTTTTATCAATTCATGAGACTGGTGGAATATTTTTATTTTTTTATTTTTTTGGTCCATTGAAAGATGATTGTTTCCTTGCAGGCCCCCACCTACTCATATCCACGCTTTGTACAGTTACTTCAATTCAGTTGTTATAGTAGACATGTGCTATCAGGTTTAGTTGTATCAATAGGTGGGTTGCAGGATTCCTTGAAGAGGGTGTCACTCTCCGCACTGTTAGATTATCTAGAAGGGTCAATAACCAGGCAGTACATGCTTTCTGGTGACATTCTGTGGGTTCTTCAGCAATACACGAAATGTGACAGGGTCATAATACCCACTCTGAAGGTAATTAGCTTTCATCGTGTTTTAATTTTTTCTCTAGCTTTCAATTGCACACTTAAAAACACAGACAATTATTACTAAGCTGTTGGCCTAGAGTAAGCTTTTTGGGATGTAATTTTAGTCAGACCTTTGTTAAACTAATAGAGTCAGAGATCTAACTTATGACTTCAAAAAAAAAAAAAAAGAACTTCTGACTTCTAATCTAGATTCTTTTACATGCATTCATACAACACATCATCAAGTCTGATAAGAATAAGGGCAGTGAGAATCCTTGGTTTTTAAACCCAATGGTGCACGTGAGTTACCAATGGAAAGAGATTAACATGACTTGGTATGTAAGAATACCTGCAAGAACAGGGTAATTGACTGTGTCACTTAAACACTAAACTAGACTGAGCCACTGGGAGAACTCCATGTTCGTTGCTCAAAAAATGTGTCCAAGGAGACAACCTATATAATTTCAGTTTCACCCCAACCCATTTTTATATCAATCCTAAAAACTAAATCCTAGGCTTGTGCGTTGCATGGAGTACAATCGTGGCTTTGTGAATAATGCAACTTCCAGTAACTTGTGTACATATTGACAAGCATGAATGAAAAGTTTAGCTTACCTTCTTCTGTTTATTTATTATCTAGTGAGTGTCTGCTGTGTTCTTATTCATTTCATGTGTGCGTGCATTGATGTGTTTGCTTTGAGCCCTCACTGTAGAGTCTTGATGTATTGATAATTTTCTGTATTTCAGACCATTGAGATCCTTTTCAGCAAAAAGATATTCTTTAATTTGGAGGTTAGTTTGGCTTTACTGTTTCCAATCTTTCTTGCTTGCTGGAGCTATAAAATTCTTTATCCATCTTGTCTCTACGGTTTGCCCTTGATGATTAAGTAATCCTTCCCATCTGCATGGTGAGATTTCATTCAAGTGTATAATTTCATTTCCAGGCTCACACGACAACTTTTTGTTCTGGCGTTTTGGATTCCTTAGCGGTTGAATTGAAGGGATCAAAGGACTTCTCTAAGTTATATGCTGGTATTGCATTACTTGGTTATGTAGCTTCAGTGCCAGACCCAATCAATACTCGGGCTTTTTCTCATCTTCTTACCTTTCTTGGTCATCGGTTTCCTAAGGTAATTTTCAAAAAAAAATTCATCAGCATGGCCCTTTTATGTGTCTTTGGTTTAAGGTTAGATGAGATGGTAAAAGGATAAGTTACCTCTAAAACTGTCATTCAAGACACCAATGATATGGCTTGGAACCTTAGCAAGCAAATATTAAACCCATAGAATCTGGAAAAAAATTACATTTTTCTTTTAAATTAGAAGGTTTGATAACAAATTTTGTATACTTATTTTTATAATGTGATAAAAATTCTCTTTGGACTTTGAAAATTTTAGTTAAGAATTTTCTTTTGGGTATAGTATAATTTTCCTGAAGAATTACATCCTTATAGGGACCAAATAGGATTACTAATTTAGAAGTGGAATTTAGGATTTAGGGTTTAGGGATTAGGGTGTGTGAAGTTCTAACCCATTTCTCTTAGGTCTCGTTTGGTATGATGAAGAAATTTTTAATGGAACCGGAATCGAAATCGGAATAGAATTGAGTTTTAAAAGTGTGTTTGGTATGAAGATGGAATTATAATATAATTTTAATTAATATATGTACTTAAAATAAAAAAGACTAAATTGCCCTTTTTCTCAAAATTAAAAAGACCTATCTTGTCATAAATGGACAAAAAAGATGAGGGTAGTGGGGTCCACAAAACGAATTCAAGGGAATTGAAGCAATTCCATGGTCAATATGATGGAATTGGATTCTAGCCTTTTTGGTGGAATTATGATTCCTAAGAATTGTAACTCTTACATACCAAACGTGTTTAAATTAGGATTCCATCTCTAATACCAATTTCATGTTGCTAATTCAATGATACTAAACATGGCCTTAAACTAAAACTCTTTTGCTTGTCTGTGGAAAGATAGAGGAGAAAGAAATTTTCCTTTGTAATGTTTCTTACTGCCATTGTTTCATAGTTTTATTATTTTTCATGTTTAACTCTTTTTTTAAATCATATTTTTATTCCATGTGGCTCTTAAAAAGTGAACCCGCATAGTTTTACTCTTGGATAACTACTGTTTGTATTGTACTTCTAAGTTGCACAGATACTGACACGCATATTGGATATGATACGTATCCGACCCATTGATAATTTAATTTTTTAAAATATAAGATACAACACGTTTCCAATACGTGTATGTATATTTATAAAAAATATTAAAAATATACTTTTAATTTAGAAAATATTTAAATTAGCATACATATATAGTCCTTTATAATAATATCAAGTAAAATATAATCATTAATTGTAGTTTTACTTTATCTATACATAATTGCCTACCACCAAATCCTTGCTAATAGATATAGTATCAATATTTTCTTCTCAACCATCATAAAATTTCATTTTTCACTTTTTATAATTAAGAACAATGTAATATTTACTTCCAAAATTATTATTTTTTGAGGAAAATCTAATTTTTGACTTTAAAAGAAAATAAAAAAAATGATATTAGTAATAAAAAATTTAATATTGCAAGTTTTAATAAATTTAATTTTTTAAAAAAAATTTGTTTTTCAAGTATCGATTAGTAATTTAGAAGTATCCGATATGTATTAAAATTTAAATTTTTTTAAAATTAAAAAATATTATTTTGATACGTTATGGATATGTATCAAAGAAGTATTGATATCAGAGATAATATCAATATGGATACGTGAGGCAATGTAAAGTATTGGTATTTCATAGTTGTACTTTGTTATATACTAATATTAATATTAACTAGCATATGCCCGTGCGTAGCATGGGTGATAAATTAATTAACAAAATATTTATAAAATAATATTAGTTAATTAGAATAATATATATATATATATATATATATTTGTACGTGTGTATCCTGTATATATATAGGTAGTTAGATATGGATATGGTAGAATACTCTAAATAACCAACTTCATCTAAAAAAGGATTATGGAGTTAAGTTATTAGATCATGAGGTATGAAGTTACCAAAATGAAGAAATAAAGATAAATTATATTCATCAATTACAAATAATTTTGTAAATCCTATACAACTTCACATACAAGTTAAACCATGGAAGATGATAAGATATTCATGTGCTAAACAATGAAAATGACCATCTAAAATTTTCTGTAATCACTTGAAATAATGTTAGGAGATGAAAAAGAACACTTCAAAATTGTGAGAATTAAATCAAGACAATGTGCAAGAGAATATGTAGTACCTAAAAATTAAGTTAAATTCATATCTAAATTTACCTTTCTTGCTTGAGACAACTTCCCTATGTAATATGAAGTATCGTTGTCATGTAATGCTAGGGGCAATAGTATTTTAATTTCTAAAAGAAGACACAAAAAGTCTAAAGTAAAAATTAATAACAGGATCTTATTCTCAGACACATTTTGTGATTCTAATATTGAAGATAAACAAATAATATTAGCGAGATGGATCAAATGTCAAGACTATCCATCATTAGTTTTGAAAGTAGAGATTTTGAATCACATGCTCTTATTTTGTCTTTTTGCCATCGAATATCTAGGTTGAAAAACATTATAAATTATACGTTATAGCATAAAGAGAGAGAGAAATGACATTTGGACAAGGCTTGGAATTTATAGTGAGCAATTGGAATTTAAAATAACAATGACAATATAAGAAAAGAAACTCAAACCTAAATATTCAAATGATAACACAAAACCCTCTTTGAAAAAACTAAGTCCTCGACATTTGAGAGGTTTGAACATATGCATTAGTTTCTAATTACAATCGAGATCAAAATATTTAGAGTGACAGATTTTTGAATCATAAATTAGGTTCCTTCTAGTAAGTTATCTGTTGAAAATGACCCACTAATAGAATATTACCTCTTGTTCTATGATTTGTTCATTGTTTTTTCCCTTTTGGATTCTCAATAAACATGGACTTCCTTCCCAAACATGCATTGATAGAAAAGTAGACAAATGCTTGCAACTGGCCATCACCTTTGTTCATGGATTTTTGCGTTTAGAGGTATAAATGGCGGTTATTCACTTAACTCCTTAACAAGGAGGAGTTACAAAGGCACAAATTAGACCAACATCTTTACGTTCTGCTTAAAAAACATGTATAAAATAAAACAAAGATAGTTGAGAAGTGGGGAGGTTATTATGCTTGAAATTCTTTATGAGGATATGTGGGTGGAACCCCACGTTTCATAATTAAATTATAATTAAGAATTAAAATTAATTTCCTAAATGGGATTAAGGTGTGGGGGAGGCTTTTGTGTTTAAATTTTTTTGAGATTTTTAAAATTTAAATTTAAATTGTGAATTAATTGAAAAGTTATGTTAATGAATAAGATCACAGAAATGGTGAGAATCTTTATTTTTTTGGAAAAAATAGTGAGAATGTTTAGGGATAAGGGATCATGGTAGCTTCCATATTATAAATTTGAAAACTAAATGATCAATATATGTAAATTATAAATAACATATTCAAATTAAATGTTTAAATTATAATTAAGAATTTAAGTTAATTTTACAAATAGGATATGGAGTGAGGAAGTTATAATACTAAAATTTTTTCAAAGGTTTTTAAAATTAACATTAAAACTGTGAGTTAGTCGATAAGTTATGGTTGAAAATTAATATCATGGGAGAGAATATTTTGGGATAAGAAAAAGCAGATTTTGTTAATCTTAGAGATGTTGATAATTTTTTTTAAAAAAATATTTTTTGAAATTAATAATGATGTGGGTAGCCTAAAATTGCATTATTTTGAAAAATGCTTACGTGTCAAGCTTGGAGATGTACTTGTTATTCTTCTATTATATATATATATATATATATATATTACTATCTTTTCTACTTAAAAAAAAGATGAAAAAAAGTTGTTGGAGATTTGTCTAGAGTAAAAGCAAGGTAGGGTAGATGGATCCTTGTTCACCATTTATTTTTGTTGGAGGCAGATTCGGAAAGCTTCAGCGGAACAAGTATACCTTGTCCTCCTGCAAAATGAGAGTCTTGTTGGGGAAGATAAGATCGAGAAAGCACTTGAAGTTGTTTCGGATACTTGCTGGGATGGTGACATGGATACAGCAAAACATAAAAGATTAGAATTGTGTGATTTATTAGGTTTGGAGGTGGAGCCGAGTGGCGATGGAGCATCGAGTAAAAGTAGCAGCAGCAGCAGCAAGAAGCGTGTAGATTTGGATGAAAATGCTTCGTATTCTTCCTTAGTTGAGTCATCTGGCTTCTGATTTTTGCGATATATATACTGTGTCTGATTTTGCGGTTACATCCTTTCCTACTAGATTTTGATATGATTCACTGTTCAGAATTTGCAGTTGCCAAATGCTAGCGATTTTATTTGTTGTAAACCAGTCATAGTGTTCAAGAGTGCTATACTTTTATTGGATCTTAGGTACAATTTTAGAGGTTGCTTTTTATGCAGCATAGAAGAAATGGGGAAAAAAGATTCAGAATAGAAATGGATTCTTTGAACAAAATGGCATAGTAGATATCACACTGGGATAGGAAGGGAACTTTCTAACCAAACTTATCTCAAATTACTCAAAAAAAAAAAAAGGCATTAAAGGAAAGGAAAGTATTTCAGTTGACAATTTTTGATCCCTTATATTATGAATGTCAAGGTACTGAAAACTTTCAACAAAGAGTTAGACCAAAATTGTAAGTTTGTCAAAAGTTATATCATCATAAATCAATGTCTATTTAGATAAATTGTAAATTTAAAATTGTATTTCACTATATATTATCCATACTTTCAATTTACAAAGCAAACTTTTAGAAAAATATATTCAAATAAAAATTTTGTTATAACAATTAATTTTTACTAAATTTTTTTAAATAAATTTTTGACAAATTAACTATAGATTGGTGTAAAACCAAATACACACCAAACGATTCATTGTCGGTTGCACAGCCAGAAAACAATGACCAAAAGCTTTTGTTTGGTAAATAGAGAGTAAAATAGAAAATAAAATAAAGACAAAGTTTTGAGTGTAAAATAATCATGTTATCCATGCTTTAAAGAATGATAAGAACTAGGGAGAAGGACAATTAGATTCACAATATTAAATTAATAACAATTAAGTTTTCCATAATTTTAAAAAAATTAATTGAAAATATCAATTCAGATGATTGTAAATTTAAAAGTTTCAATTACAAATAAGTTTTTCAACATCAAATTTAACTTTTAAATTATAATAAAAATTTTTATATGTGATTGTTTGAATTGATATTTATAAATTATTTTGTAAAAAAATTTGTTGGGTATTTAACGGTCTGATTTCCCATTGTCAATCCCATACGTTTTACCTTTTCCTTTGTAACATGATTCTTTCTGCTCTCCACGGTTCTCCTATTTCTGCCTATTTCTCTTGATCAAATCATACGCACAATATTCAGGATTCATAGAAAAAGCAATCTATTGGGAAAACCAGATCCTTACAATTTTACTCAATTTTAAATTATGTCCTTATTTTTTATTTAATTTTAATTAAGTCATTATAATTTAACTTAAATTTTTTAATCCTGAAATTTCTCCTTTAAAGAAACAAAATTAAGAACTTTTATATTCTTATTAGATGATTATATGACTTTAGAATTAATTACATAATTTTTATAACTCAAAATTTATATAATTATGTTGTCTTTTAAAGATTTTCTATACATGTAGAATTTTCATAAAAAAATTATAATAAAAATATAAACAGTAGGTTGCATCAATTTTTTTTTATTTTGGCTAAAAGTATTAAAATAAATTTTTTGCAAACTCCAAGAGTGTTTTTGTTTTATAGAATTTAATAATTCATTATTAATTTTAATTTTCAAGCATCAAAATATATAATAGATAAAACTATAAAGACATAATTAAAATAAAATAAATTAAAAAATTTTAATTTAAATTAAATAGAACTGTAAGAACTTATAAATATATTTTTTTTAATTTATTTGTGCTGTTCGCCAACGTTTGCTTTGACTTGACTGTGATTGGAGGCGATCCAGCTTTTTGTTGGAGTGTCCGAATGTTTTCCGAAATCCAAGTGATATTGGATTTTATCATTTTTCATGTTTTAATTAGAAAGTTATTTCATTAATTTTTTTAAAAAAAGACAATTCATGAAAATTTTCATTCTATCATTGCACTTAAATTAGTTGGAACAAGACTATCTCCTAATTCTCTCCTCATTCCCTTCATCCCTCATAAGATGGGAATCGATTTCAATGTTTATCATATAAATAAGCATTGATAGTTCATTACCTCTAGACCATTTAAATTTAATTTTTATAATTCAAATTTATAGTTTTTCAACAAATGTTTTTTAAATTAAAAAATATTTTTATGAAAAATTAACAATTAAAAGATTGTCTTTATTTTAGATTTTATATTTATTGAAATAATTCTTTTAAAAAATAAAAGTAAAAATTTCTGAACGATCCAAAAATAATAAATTTTCAATTCTCATTTATATGATAAGCATTGAAATTAATTTTCACAAAATAGAGGTGAAATCTAATATTTTTTAAAAAAAAGTTGGTCCCCCACTCCTTGAAAAGTATCTCAGTGTCCCAATGCAACATAAAAGGATTACTAAAAGACTTTTTAATCCTCTCATCTGAAAAGCGTAGCAAAAGCTTTCCTCTTGGAAGAGGACCTTTCTTAGCATGGTGGGAAGGACGACGTTGATCAAGTTTGTTATCTCTTCCCTTCCCTCATACTTGATGCAAACCATGCTCCTTCTGAAAGATATTTTATTTGAAATTGAAAAATTCAGCAGAAGCTTGTTAGGATAGGCTGGCACTCAAGAGGGGGATGAACTGAGTAACACTTAAAACTTTTTAAAACTTGAAAAGAGTAGAGAGTTAAAGAGTGAAGGAAAAAGTTGACACGCTCAAGATTTATACTAGTTCAACCATAAATTTGGCCTATGTCTAATTCTTAAGATCACACTTAAAATTTTTAATTAAAAATACAAGCTTTAATAGGTGCTTGCCACCACAGTATAACTTGAAAAATCACATATCTTGAATCACTTATCACACCTTACAATACTTGAAAAATCCTTTTCAAGATTTCTGAGATAATAATAGAATCTTTTACAAAAAAATTTCTAAAAAGAGTATATGAGAATACAGATGAAAGCTTATAAATTTTTGAGAGCTTTTTACAATTCTTTTCAAGAATAATGAATCAATGCAATATATAAAATCACAATTTGAAAGCTCTTTTAATGCACAAATCATATTATGTATGCTCAAAAATCATTAGTCCGTTTTTTGGTTCAAAATGTATCACTTAAATAATTTTTGGAAGTTGACAAACTATTAGAATAGTGATTTTATTTGTTGTGTATTTTCTTGTGAGTGACTAGCATAATCACACGTGTTTTTGCACTAAGGAAGTTTCATAAAGCTAAATGTGACAAATCATGCATGAGTATCTTTTCCTCTCATGTGTGGTTTTGCACTTTTGAAAAATCATTTAATTCTATGTACTTAATAATGTGTGGTACCTTATTGCTTCCTCCTGTGGTTTTGCACTTATGAATATACTATCATGACAAAGTGCTAAAACTTGTGAACGCACCACTTGTTCTCACGCATGGTTTTGCACATCAAAAACTATCATCAGTTCTTTGTGACAAATCATGCGTGAAACCCTTACTCTCAATTATGTGAAATGGCTGACAGAATGCCAAAGCCATTTAGTGTGATCTAAACTTACGTGGAACCAAAGACATATAATGCACGAAATTGCAAGTACTGATGTATAAACTTGTCTGATGCATATTCATAAGTAGAACTCAATATAGCTCAAACAAGATTTTGCATAGTCAAGAGATTTGAATTTGTGAATCAATAATCATATATATGAACAATTTTAGCTCGACTTGAGAGATTTTAAGACTTACCAAAAACTATGTGAGAATGTTTAGCAAGTGACAAATCACAAGTGGTACCATCAATGTCTCACGCATGATTTTGCACTTAGTTATATTTCAATAAAGCCCAGGTGTTAAAACTTACGTGAACACTAAAGCCTTTCATGTGTGGTTTTGTATGCAGAGACAAAGCATAAGGCAACATACCACACAAGTGCTTAATTAAGCATGAAGCACTTCTTCATACTCGTGTGATCTAGCAATCAGTGTGCCTAACATGTAAAAACTCGTGAATGACCTATAGAATCATGCATGATTTTGCCTCTTCACTATGCAAACTTTTTCTATGAAAATTATATGCAAGAAGGCCAAAGTTTGCAAGCTTTAACATATTTAGATGAGTCTTAATGCATATAAAAGAGGCATACAATGCATTCATTTAATGATTTAAGAAAGGTGATTAAGCTTTCTAAGTTTTTGTATTAAATCTAAGAGAATTTAAAATTACTTATCCTAAACTTCTTCATCTTCTCTTGATTCTTCATGCTCTTGAGGTTTTATCTTTATCCATGATTCTTTATATCTGTACACATAACAAATACCTCTTCTCTTGATTTTGTAATCATCAAAACACATGATCTAACAATCTCTCCCTTTTTGATGATGACAAAACCTTAAGATCAAGGTTCTTATATCTGTTTAATATAAATCTCCCCCTTAAACTAATATGGGAGAATTAAAAGATAAAGGTGCAAAATTAAGTAAAAAGGTTGAATCATATGAATGAAAAACATAAAATTTTATTGATAACAAAAAATATTATAATCATATCATCAAAGAAATTTTTCTTCCTAAGGCTTAATTACGTAACTCCCAACTTTCCTTAAGCTTAGCCTATCTCTCTATGTAATGTCCGCCTTGACATTACCAGGACAATACTCTTATACGTTGTTTGTGATAACTAGGATTAGATAAAATCTCAAGTAAAGGTTATTATAACTTAAGGGGTTTAAAAGATAATAAGTTGAAATAATGGGATGCCAATAAAACTCTTTTTAAAATAGTGTTTGAGCTTAAATCATAGTTAAAAATTAATTAAGAGTAAATACAGAAGTATGAAAATCAAATAACATCAAATTAGATTAAAACAAGCCACTTTTCTAAAAATTATGGCCCATCTGCCACAACGAATGGCATAGAAGGACAAATCCCTTAAAGGCCATTTATGCCGTGGTGTGCATCTATTGTCATGACAGCAGATTGCTGTCATGACAGCTCTCTAAACTTTTAAAGCATGCTGTTTTGCCATCTGAGATCTGATTTGGGTGGTTCAAGTATTTACACGAAGCTTTTTGAGCCCTCTAGCTAATGACACCAATTTCACACTCAAACAATCATTTATTTAAAAGATGAACATCTGAACTCAAAATGATTTGTTTTCATCTCATAACACACACAAAGGTGTCCAACTCACAATGCCAAATGCCATTAGCCCTAGAGACACTTTGACCAC